CTTCTTTCTGCCACTATCATTAAAGATTATGATTTTTTTATAGGATGGAATGATTTATTACTTTTGTGATATTGCACAGCCTAGTAAAGTAAAGGCAGATGGTGCTTCAGCGTAAAAAATACCAAGCCTAGGTAGAAGCAAGCTTTAAAAATACAACATCATTTAAGAATCTGATATCAGCAAAAGTTACAATGGCCAGTTCCCATTGTATAAAAATAAGCTTTTAGTAGAACAGTATGTATTATAGCTGGACAGAGAGAGAGGGAAAGAAAGAAATAGAAGGTCCAATTTTGTTTGCTACGAGAATCAATATAGAAACTTCCGCTGATTTCAGTAGAAGAAGAATTAGAACAATAGTAGAACTGTTATAGTGCCTTTTATTTAAGGATCTGTCTCTGTCTCCTCTTCAAAGTACAGGAAAAATTCTGATCACTTCAAATATGTCTGTATGTAAGCTGGCTGACAATTACTGTCCTGAAAATGACTTGTCCGATGTCACACTTGCTTCAGTGGCAGATCCAAGGATAGCATTCAGGAGTCCAAACTTCAAATATCCTACTCCAGATATTAGAAAACATTACTGGACTATATACATACGCCATATATATGACTATGAGGTTCTTCCTCTCTCTTACACATCCATACTGTGGGACTGGCTTCCCGGATTAAGGACAACAAGAAGTCCTTTTTTAAATACATAGGGAATAAAAAGAAGGCCCCGGGTAATGTGGGGCCCTTGCAGGACGCGACGGGGAATCTGGTTGTCACACCAGACGACAAAGCCAACATATTTAATGATTTCTTTGCCTCTGTCTTCCTCAGTAAGGACCAGAACTGCCACCTCCCTGCTAGGCCCCCATCGGGCCCCGAGGGAGGCACACCTGAGCCCAGGGTAAGTGAGGATCTAGTTAGGGAGCTGCTGGAGGGGCTGGACGTTTTTAAGTCAGCCGGTCCGGATGATCTCCACCCTAGAGTTCTAAAGGAACTGGCCGGAGTCATTGCGAGTCCCCTGGCGCAGCTTTATGAGCACTCGTGGTGCTCTGGAGAGGTGCCGGAGGACTGGAAGAGGGCCAATGTGGTTCCCATCTTCAAAAAGGGGAGGAAGGAGGACCCGGGAAACTATAGGCCAGTCAGTCTTACCTCGATCCTGGGCAAGCTGTTCGAGAAAATTATTCTGGCACACATCCAGGAGGGGCCAGCAGGGAAATGCATGCTCAGGGGCAACCAGCACGGGTTCATCAGCGGCAGGTCATGTCAGACCAACCTGGTGGCCTTCTACGATCAGGTCACTAAATCATTGGATGCAGGGGTAGCAGTGGATATAGTCTTCCTGGACTTCCGGAAGGCTTTCGACACTGTCTCTCACCCCGTTCTCATTAGGAAACTGGGGGACTGTGGCGTAGACACCCACAAAGTCCAATGGGTCGCCAACTGGCTAGAGAGCCGCACCCAGAGGGTGGTAGTGGATGGGTCCTTCTCGGCCTGGAAGGACGTGGGCAGTGGGGTCCCGCAGGGCTCGGTCCTCGGGCCCGCCCTGTTCAACATCTTCATCAGTGATTTGGATGAGGGGGTGCAAAGCACCCTGTTCAAATTTGCTGATGACACCAAGATGTGGGGGGATGTGGGCACAATAGAAGGGAGCAACAGGCTACAGTCGGACCTTGACAGGTTACAAGGATGGGCGGAGGAGAACAGGATGGGGTTCAACACAGACAAGTGCAAGGTGATGCACCTGGGGAGGAACAACCGGCACCATACCTACAGGCTGGGGAACTCCCCTCTTGTCAGCACGGAGGTGGAAAAGGAGCTTGGAGTCATTATTGACTCCAAGATGAACATGGCTCGGCAGTGTGGGGAGGCGGCTAGGAAGGCCAACTGTACCTTGTCGTGCATCCACAGATGCATTTCAAGCAGGACCAAGGAGGTGATCCTCCCCCTCTATGCGACACTGGTCAGGCCGCAGCTGGAGTACTGCATCCAGTTCTGGGAGCCGCACTTTAAGAGGGATGTGGACAGCATCGAGAGGGTCCAGAGGAGGGCCACTCGCATGATCAAGGGACAGCAGGGCAGGTCCTATGAGGAAAGGTTACGGGACCTGAACCTGTTCAGCCTCCAGAAGAGAAGGCTGAGGGGGGAATCTTGTGGCCTGCTATAAACTAGTCAGGGGGGATCAACAGGCACTGGGGGAGTCCCTGTCCCCCC